GACCTCGTGACGGCCAGGAGCGCCCACCCTCACTCACTGGCAGGTGACTGATGTGACAGCAGGAGCGCTTACTCATTGGAAGGGGTCCGGACTCGGCACGACTCAGGTATTAGTCGTAAGGTCACCATGAGGCAGGTCAGAGGGTAGGACATGAGGCAGAGAACTCTGACCAAACGATGGTCAATAGGTACCTGGTCTGTGCACCATTGTATTAGTATATATAGTAGGGAGTCTGAGGCAGGGAACCTCAGACTTGATCTTCTCGTCGATCCCCCATCTCCTCTGTAGGTAGCTAGCAGCCCTACCTTCTACTGCCCCTTCTAGTCTAGGGAATACACCTCTTCACATCTCTTGCTGTGTCACCTCTGGTTGCTTCGCCTCTCAGCACCAACCTCTGCATCAGTAAGCTTTGCCCTTGTTTGTTTTGGTGGCACAGCTCGTTGGCTGTGACATTATCTTATGCACATGTAACGTAGATGATGAGCAGCAATGCAATGTTTGGTCGAAGAGCAGAGTCCGGAAAGGCATAAAACACATACCAGGTAGTGAGTAGAAGCATCTCTCCTTTCCCATGTTAATCTACGGCTGTGCTTCCTGCGGTGCGAGAAATCTTGCACAATACAGCTGCCAAACCTCTGAGCTTCTGCAACCCACTGCTCCCCTTCCCTCTACACCTCAGTCACGATCTACCTTCCCTCCTGGCTCTCATCACTACTCTTGTACTCCCGCGCCAAGCTCTGCATATGCGCGACACCCCGGTAACACTCCAGGACCATCATCTGACATCAGCAAAATGTCATGGTCTTGAATGTGGTCTTGGGGTACTTGGCCAAGTACTCCAAGACCACCAAGTACTCCAAGTACATCAAGACCAATGGACTTGGTCAAGACCGTTGGTCTTGGCCAAGCCGGGTGGGTGGTCTTGGTCAAGACCAATGGTCTTGACCAAGACCACCAAGACCATTCCAAGACCAGAATCAAGACCAGAGCCAAGTACATGCTAGAAGCTCATGCTATAAAAGACTATAGCTCAGTTTTTAGTTGGATCATATCAGACATAGTTAGTCTCTAGCATAGTGATGTACAGCAATACAATGATTAGTGGATATGCGAAGGAAAAAAAAAGGCACCAGCTAGGATTGAACCAGCAACCTCTAGCACTCCCACATTCAACCACCATTTAGACCACTGCACCATATTGACTTGTAGATAGATATGTGCACCATAAATATATGGTGCATTTTGTTGGACTTGGAAAGAATTGTCACTACTCACCACTGCAACAATGCAGTTTCAAGGCTAGTATGTTACCTGTTATGAAGTTAAGGGCCACTAGACTTCTATTGATCACTACTGTACCCTGCAATAGCATATGTAGGGTTGTCATTCTAATATTGTAGTGCTATAATGGAAGTAACATGGTCTTTAAGCATTGAACACTATAGTAGGTCTCATGACCATTCTTATCTTGAACATATACACAATTATGCAGTTTATAAGATCATTACTAGACCATATTCTTATATGATCTAGATACTCTTATATTGATTTAGACAAGTTTACCCTTAACTCTAAGTTGCTTAAGCACTTAAAGACAATAGTCTTGACTTTAAGACCGCGGTCTTAGAGCCAAGTCCGTGATCTTGGCTCCAAGTTCACGGTCTTAGCTCCAAGTTCACGGTCTTGGCTCCAAGTTCACGGTCTTGGCTCCAAGTTCATGGTCTTGACCTCAAGACCACTAAGACTGCAGACTTGAGGCTAAGACCATGGTCTTGGCTCTAAGACCGTGGTCTTGGCCCAAGTTCAGATTCAAGACCATGACATTTTGCTGATGGAGCCACCCATACGAGCCGGCGGCTTACAGTCCGTTGTCGGAGCATGGCTTCAATAAGAACAATTCTCAGTAGTGTATTCAGTCTGGGACGCATCTCCAATGTTTTACGACAGGCTCGCGAGGAAAGTAGATACAATGTTGACTCGTAATACCAAGACTGCAACCTTTCGCAGTACACCGAGATCCCCAGACTACCCATGCTCGCTGTGCAAGCCTAGCACGTGCCCACTTCAAGCTCACCTTGTGGCGCTTCAAGGTGCATCAAGGTATGAACTCCGACACCTTAAGGCGACCTTGACCTCACTTCGCGGCAACACTGATACCGGCGCCGTCAACCATTTAGCTCCTTACACCGTTTACATGGGGACTTCATTTCCTATCTTTGGTAAGCCGGCTTCGTGCCATGCCTACGTGCTCTCGTCGCGACGCTACGACATGAATGCGAGCACAGAGGCGTAAGGTAGTGAACAGGTAAGCCTGAATGTGGCAGCATTTACAACGTCCTATTGACGTTCAAGTTGATTTCCACATGTTTACAAGGGCTTTCCGCCGCGCCAGATACCGCACCGCTTTCGTGAAATCATGGCGAGGACTTCCGCTGTAGTGAGCTCTCAGTCAACGCGGCAAAACAGATGGACCAAAGACACGTGCACCAATCAGCTCTAGGGAACTGCCCCATTATGGCAGGAGTCCTTGTTGTTCTAGGGCGCTTATTACTGCCGACATAGTCTCCGTTGTTTAACGTTAAACAACGGAGCCAAAGAGGGTGATGCGTTCCAAATGCCCATTCATTTTGCCGCGCGGAACCGAGCAGAGTGGAGTACTATGTATACGTGGCATCGTTGGGCATTCCACCCGCTACGTGAGTCGTCCGTTCTAAATCGCATCGCCATTAGTACCTTGCTGTGTCCGCATGTTCTAACAAAGCAGGATACTCAAGAAGCACCCACGCGTAGCGGGCTGTGAATATCAGGCCGAATAAGCACTTCTGATACTTGTGCCTAGGATGTTCTACGCTCACCGCGGTTGATGCAGAGTCATCGGCTCCATTCGTGAGTGGGCACGGCCCAGCCTCCCGCAGAACCCCGTGCGCGATTGCGCGCCCACTCGGCAGAACTTGCCATTCCTTTTTCCTCGTGTGTTCTCGAAGAGAAGCAAAATGATGCCCTTCGCCTGAGACAGCTACTGAGGGACTCCGCGACTCGAGCAAGGCTTCCCTTGGGCATGACTCTGCGGCGGCTCGTCCACCGCGCCATTCGGTCGACCCAGCCCTGTTGCCTCAAGGCGCATACATGAGGGCACTGTCCTAGAATATACGCGGTAAAAGCAGTCCGCGATATTGTATGTTAGCGTATGTCAGGGAACTCCGGTGTCCTGCCCCAGAAGGCTTTCTCAGATCTCGGCGTCACAGCTTTATGAGAATCTGCATGGTGGTCGCTGATGCACGCGTTCCACATGAGAGAGCGATCAAGGGTGTATGCGTACAGCTACCGAAGACATCGAGGGACATCGCCATTGGCACCCGGGCCCCTGGCGCAATATACCGCCGATCCGAACGGTGCTAAAACTCAACCATCTGCCAAAGCCTCCGCTTCTGTTGGCCAAACACTCCTCCTCCCGTGTCATTACTCTCCCGAACCTCCTTCAAAGCACAGTCATGTCCAATATCCTAGAGCGGCAGAACGACGAGAATCAATTTGAGCGCGACACAGTTACCGGACGCTATATCCAGAAGCAGTCTATTCCTAAGTGGCTGGTGAAGGCAGTTGGCGCGAATGCGGTAAGTCTAGATCGATTGAGGGGTTTGGTTGAATAGACCCACAACTACACTCAGCTCGCACAGACGGTATTGATCTGGGGCAAACGTGGTATGTTCGGTAAACTGTGTTACAAGACTCCACAGAACCTGGTGGACAACGCGAGGAAGCGACGGCAACGGGCCCTTCTCAAGAGTCAGGTTAATCGCCCGCTCTTGACGACTTCGCCCCTCATCAAGGCGGAGTAGCCTACAACGAGGTATGTAAACCTCTGGGATATCGGGCCAGGGAGGTATGAGACCTCCCAGTCACGCATATGATTGGCTGTTAGCCTGGGACATCAATACGGGCGCATCAGATTTTGATAGCTAGAACGGTCTACGTACTCGAGGCAACTTCCAGGAGCTCGAGTAAAAACCGTACTCCCTCTGAGGAGGTCGCAGTAATTGACGAGGCAGCATTTTTCCAACAGATGCAGAGTGTTGTGCAGGCGTGGCGGGTGAGGAGGGTGGGGGACGCGCGACATGGAAGACCACCGACGCTGGCGCTACCGTGGCGCATCAGCGCGCAATTTTTGATGATCAAAGTGCCCAATTGGTATTGTGGCGCTTGATGCGAGATTTTAGGGTTTGCGCGAGGAGGACCCGCCATTCGTGCTCCCTCCCCTCCCTCGCTGCGCTCGGGGGGTCCCCCGAGCCGGGAGCACTCAGGCGGGCACTCTAAAGCCTC